TTCGTCCATTCGGTCAAAACTTGTAACGAATCACAAATAACTCAGAGTTCAGGCGTGATGGTGATATATGGAACGGAGCGCACGCGAGCGTTAGTCCGGCTGCTGCTTGTCGGCAATGAGGGGGTGGTGGTCTTGCTTCAGATTCCATAGATGCCTTTTATAATCGTAATACTTATTTTCGCGTGAAAGACAAGCTTACTAAAACCGGAAGTAGAGAACTCATACAAAAATAGTGAAGAGGGACATTGGTTTCATTTAGCCCAAATAAAGTCTCAGTTCACCTCCGATGACAGAGGAGGTCTTCTGCCCGCCCTACCTATGGCCATCATACCCTTTTTATTTTCTTAATTATTGATGACCCCTTATTAGGCCTAGATACCCTACTCTACAGAGGCTTCATGCTAGCTGCGGCAAAAATATTGATGTTTAAAACATTATAAACATATTTATTAAAACTAAGACGAAATAATACTCTTAAAAATATACATTAAAATCATGGGGGAGTAAATAAATAAATAATGAAATCAACATGAATGAACGTATATAACGGTAAATATAAATAATAATTAAAAATATATTAATGATATCGAAATGTGATTAATAAAATTAATGGTAAAACAGGACACACTGAAATTTATCTCGGGCAAATTAGTTGCTTAAGGTAGAGTATTCGATTGACATAGTGCGTGAGGATAGGAAGACTTGGAAACGGCGATTGGGTTGTGTTCGCGCAAACATATAAATGCATTAGAATTCTTTTGGTTTTTGCTTTTGTTTACATTTTTTTTCCAAAGGCCCTAGCGAACGGTAGCGTATGATTTATTTTTCTTTCTCTTTGTAACAGAATTGCTAAGAGTTTTGCTTTGAATGTATAACTATACGCAATGTAGGAACATTCATATAGGGGCAATATTGGGATTAATGTTGAATTAATAATGCTCTCTTGAGCTCATCACTCACCAATTTTCTTTAAGCATCCATCGATGAAAGCGCTTTCGGCAACGGTAGTCTGATGTTTGGAAGAAATTTGAAACTTTATTTATTTAAACATTACCCGATACCGCTAAAGGAACGCTCGGTTTATTTTTGGTTGGTTTTTTTTTTTTGTTAACACAAGCCTAATTCATTTTTTTTTTAAGCTACCAATAAAAACAATTTCAAGATAGCCACACATTCCATATTTTTCTCATTCACTAAATCACTCACTCCATTTGTGCACCGAAAATTATTCGAATAAAAAAAAACTTAGACTAAATTAATTTTAATATTTTTTCTGCGCATTACTGCAGCTTTTTGCTGCTTACTTTTTTTTTAGTCGTGCTGAAGATCAAACTATGGGCAATTAATATGCCTTTTTCTTAGTACGACGAAACTTTCAACGCCACCGACGACTTCTGCGAAACGCTTGCTCTCCCGCCGGACGCTGACGTGACCGCCGGTTTCTTTTATGCTTCTGCCGGCCGTCCGTCCGTGCTCTTCTCCTTCTCCTTTTGGAGCGGCGATCTCTGGTGGCTTTTGCGCTGTGGTGGCTTCACAGCACTGCAAAAAAAACTGGTGCCTGCCTTCACCGATTTCACGGACTTGGGGCGGCAGTTTTTGGCCAACACCTATGCAATAAGATGAGCCCCCTTAGAAAATCTAAAAGACCTCATTCGCTTCTCACTCACCCCTGAACTTGGCCGGAATCCCGCTGGGATCTTCCTTCTGGGCTCCCTTGCCGTGGTAACTGTGCGGCTGTTGGTAGCCGCCTCTGCTTATCGAGCACTTTCACTTGTTAACTGATTTCAAACAGCCCTTTTTACTCAACCGACCACTTTGGATGCCCAATAAGGAATGGCGGCTAGTGACGCCGCAATAAAGGCGGCAACCTATCTCTCCACCTAATTGGAGAAATTCTCTCACTCAGAGAAAGTCTGACATTTCGCCCTGTTACCCCGAATGATCTAACCCTGCCAGGCCACCAATTCTCCCCACCGAGATCTAGATGGCGCCACATATTTTTTTACTTTGTATCTAGATGGTGTTGGACCATCTGCAGCTGCACCAAGCGCTACAAACTACTGTCTAAAACTTGGACTTTTACAGTTAGAAGCGTTTTTAGGTCGAAGCGATTGTTGACCACGTACGAATACACAGTAGCTGCATAAATATTGTGTCCTGTTTCGTTTGAGATGTCCATCCATACTGTGTAAGCTGCAGAAACAATATTCAAGTCGGCTGTTATACATCCTCCATTCGTTTTTGAAATGTATTCATTATAAAATCGCTGCCGACTGCAGGTGGTCGTCCAGCAGGCATTTTATTAAAATAATGCTCATTTACCGTTCAAATTTTAATATCAGGTCAATATTTAAATGATTATAACTTAAAAATATTGTCTTTAAGTCTTAAAAAAGACTCGAAACAAAAACAAAATTAACAAAAGGACACTGATACGCTTCATTTAAATTCCTTGCGAAAGTAAACGCAGGAATATTCACAACACCAACACTGATGACACTTATGCACCATTCAAATATTTGAAAATTTTGCAAGTCTTTAAAAAGACTCAAATCAAAATATACAAGGAAAGAAAAAACTAACACTAACATTATTAGAATTTCGTGCTAAGCCACTTTACTTACATTCCTTGTGAGAGTAAATACAGGAATAGTCACAACACCAACACTGATGACACTTATGCAACAAAACAAATGACAAGCCACGAATTTTTAATATTATTTTTTAAATAATATTTTATTAATAATATTAATTTTAAAAGAAATAAATCAATCTTGAAAATTTTACAAGTCTTAGGAAAGACTATAAAAAAATTAACAAGGAATAGTAAATTAACACAAGGATACTGATATTATTAGAATAGCGTGCTGTGTCACATCACTTTTTAAACAATCAGCGATTTAAAGATTTCCAGTCAGATAAGCGTTTCAAATATCGCGCTCAACTTTTCACTTCACTCTTTATAACCTTGCAGCGGGTATTATAATTTCAGTCAGAAGTTTGCAACGCAGTGAAGGAGACATCTCCGACCCTATAAAGTATATATATTCTTGATCAGCATCACTAGTAGAGTCGATCTAGCCATGTCCGTCTGTCCGTCCGTCTGTCCGTCCGTCTGTCCGTCTGTCCGTCCGTTTATATGCAAACTAGTCTCTCAGTTTTAAAACTATCTGCATGAAACTTTCCCAAAAGTTGTTTTTCTATTGCAGGAAGTATATAAGTCGGATCGAGCCGGATCGGACGACTATAGCATATAGCTCCCATTGGAACAATCGGATAAATAAATTAAAAAAAAAAAATTATAACTTTGGTGTTTTTTAGTTTTTTTTTTAGTTTTACGAGATATAGTTATTGTTAAATATTTCAGAATTACGGTTTAAATTTTATCGAAATGGGAACTTTAAAAATATTTAAAAAAAAGACCTCATTCGATTTTTAAAAATGTAACTTTTTTATTTTGTAATTTTTTTAGAAATTCTTTATGATTAATTAATAATTTGACAGTTTAGAATTACGCTTTTATTTTTAAAATCGGGAAACGATATCGTATAGCTACCATAGGAACTATCAAATATGCTTCAAATAGCTTCTATGTAAACATACACGCAAGTCAATCATAATTTTAATGTTTTCAAGAATATTTAATTTCTGCAATAGCTGCTGCAAGGGTATATGAACTTCGGATTGCCGAAGTTTGCTTCCTTTCTTGTTCACACAAAAATAGACTTATTTTGCAATGTCGAAGTCGATTTATAGACCAAGTGAGAAAATTGAGGAGGAAGTCGATAAAATAAAAAAAAAAACAAGAAAGGACGCAAACTTCGGCAAGCCGAAGTTCATATACCCTTGCAGCTATTTCAAAAACTAAATACTCTTGAAAACGTTAAAATTATGATTTACTTTCGTGTATGTTTAAAAACATTGAAGCTTTGATGATTTGCAGTTTAATTATTCGATAGTTTCTATGGCGGCTATACGATTGTTCCTATGGGAGCTATATGCTATAGTCGTCCGATTTTGATGAAATTTAAACCTCAATTCTGAAATATTTAACTATTACCATATCTCGAAGAACTAAAAAAAAAATTTCAAAACACCAAAGTTATAATTTTTTTTTATTTTTTTTTTCCGATTGTTTTTTATTTATTTTTCGATTGTTTTTATGGGAGCTATATGCTATAGTCGTCCGATCCGGCTCGTTCCGACTTATATACTACCTGCAATAGAAAGACAACTTTTGGGAAAGATTCATGCAGATAACTTTAAAACTGAGAGACTAGTTTGCGTAGAACCGGACGGACAGACGGACAGACGGACGGACAGACGGACAAGGCTAGATCGACTCTACTAGTGATGCTGATCAAGAATATATATACTTTTTTGAAAAAAGAACCAAATTATTTGTTTGAAAAAAATCAGAAGACCCAGATCTCTGACTTGCGAAACAATCATCTTCCTTATTACCTAAAGAATATAAGCAGCGCCACACAATTTAAATTAAAACTATCCGCACATCTTAAAACTTCCTTTATTTAAATCAAATATTTACTAAACAGTCGACCTAGGTTATAGTTGATCTTGATATAAGTTTTATTTAATAATAGTAAGCATTTTCTACTACTTTGTAACACTTTGAGACTATCGCGTTTATAAGTTTTTTAACTTTTAGCGTTGGGATGCAACCTTTATAATGATAAATAAATAAGTAAATGGGAAGTAGCTTTACCTGTTTGTTGAGTTGTGACTAAATTTATGTTTCACATGTATTTAGCACAGAGACTAGTACCGGAAAAAGTTCTGAAGGGAATGGGGCTTTTTATGCTTTTTTTGTGCAAGCGGTGAAATCGGGGAACGCAATATTGCGGTTGACTGCTCCAATAGAATGGCCAACAGAGCAGCCAGAACAATCCGCTTTGAAGTTCAACTTACCATGTCGCCGAATCATTGTAGCGTTTAATGCCCAACCTTTCGATAGAGTTTTGCAGCGATTAGAGGAACACTTCAACCTGGCACCCCGGAGGCATCGGAGGCATGTACTTCTGCGCCATGTCCGATATCAAGTTCGTCCAGGTTGTGCTGTGCTGTGTGCCACTGCTGCTGGCCGCCGGCGTATCAGCCAACCCCGGCTTTGAGGACCTCCGCCGCAGCCCGGACATGGAGGCAAAGGACAGCGAGGTGGACACCACGGGAGTGCTGGACCCGGCGCAACACAAGCTCATGAACTACCAGAAGCCCCCCGTTGGATACGAGGACTACGAGTACTTCCTGGCTCCGCGTCGAACGGGAGATCGAGATCGGGATCCCTATGCTGCCGACAACGAGTTGGGTGCCACTTCAGCACTGAAGATACACGGAGACGGCAATCTGGCGGCTCTGAACAGGCCAGTCAGTGGCATCGTCCCCAAGCCCCTGCCCTGGTACGGCGACTACTCTGGCAAGCTGTTGAGCAATATGCCCACATACCCCTCCAGGTCCTATGATCCCTACATCCGCCGATACGACCGGTGAGTGTACATAAATTCGAGCCATTGCAAACATATCGATAATGGTGATTTTCGTTGATCAATATGCAAAAAGCGATCTCAAATAGCTTAGGTCAGCTTACAAACATTTCCGATATAGGAGTTACACCAGAAATTACTAACATAAGCAGCAACGACATAGTTGCTCGATTGTTTACACATATTTTTGATCAGAAGTTTGTTTAATCAAATATAGTATATGGGCATTTCCAGAAAAAGGTCCACCACGACAAAATAATTAGAAGTTGATAAAAAAATTTTTTTTTATATTGTTAAAGAAATATTTATATTTAAAGGAAAAAAAGGAATTGCCTTCCAAAAAACTTTAATTCCACCCATTAGTTGTCGCGTTCTCCATCGTAAGTTAGTAAGTTGAAACACATTTTTTTAGTATTGCTTACTTTTTACGCAGATGAGTAAAAATTATAATCCCGACATTATGTAGAACAAATTTTGAACCGATCCCGCCAAGCGTCAGAAATACCTTGAAAAAGCTGAATGACTATAAGGCCCGCTTATACAAATATCTATTTCTTTGATTATTAAACATGCGTTCCTTGATAATGTTAATATTCATACATTTATAAGTGTAAAATAAATACTTTTTTTAAATAAAATTTTATGAAAAAATGTTTGTCTAAAACTAAGTGCAAATTGTGTCGCGTTACAAATTTTGATAAATCTTGAAAAATAATTCAAAAAAGAATTATAATTCAAAATAAAGTCTATAAATTAAAAACTACATTATTTTACTATGGCTTGACCGTTTTGGTTTTCAAATTACTCGCCACATTTTGTTGACCTTCGCGTTTCTCAAAATGACTTTCGTTTTCTGTCGCGTTCGCGATGCAGTGTTTTCTTTCAATAGCTCAAAACCAACAAGTCCTTGTTTTTATACCCGTTACTCGTAGAGAAAATGGTATTTTGTATTCGTTGAAAAGTACAGTATGTCAACTAATTGTTTGCAAAATGAAAAACGTAACACAATTTTAACTTCAACATAATATTTTATTGAGATAGGCTCTTTTTTTCATATTCAGTTCTTTACCATATTTTTCATCCATGTTTTCTTAAATGAAATTAACCACAAAAGTAATCAAAATATAAATAAAAACATACAAAATTAACAAAAACTGAAAATAACAGAAAATGTTTGATGTCTATTTTTATTATTCTTTGCCAAACTAAAACATTAGCATCCACTTCTGCCCTGAGGCGTCGCGACATCGGCGAAATTTGTTTGTTTATGTGGTAAAAATCAGGCATTTTTTGCCACTCCTCACTTTATCAAGGCGTGTTTAGAAGAAGGCCACGTTTTGCCACCTTTTTCTTAAGTAATGCCCACAAATTTTCTATAAAGAGTCCAGGTGCGACACAGAAAAGATTTGTGCTTTAGATCATTATCCTGGTAGAGCATGTATTTGAGTTTGCTGCTGTTTTCGGGTTCAATGAAGCCAAAATTTTGGGCACTTCTGTTCAGTTTTTCTTGTAAAATGTTCAAGTAGAACTCCGTGGTCATTATATCATTAAATATGTGCAGCTCTCTAACGCCTTTGGATGATATACAGCCCACACCATAACTGAAAGATTGCCGAACTTAACAGTAGGCACAATGTTTTTTGGCTGGAGGGCTGTATTTGGTTTTCGCCAATCTTTTGCCGTATCGTCATTATAATACAAAATTATCTTAGTCTCGTCACAAAAAATTACATTTCAGTACTCCGGCGAATTGTTACAATTTAATAATCCGAACTTTAGACGTTTTTCAATATTTACTGCAGACAGTAAAGGTTTCTTCCTTACCACATACCACGAATACTTGCGACGATTCAGTACTTTCCTCACTGTCTCATGGCAAACGGTCTTATGACAATGTCACTCGCCAATTCTCGAAGGCTTGTTTGCGGTTTATTTTCAATTGGTTTTAACACTCGTCATAAAGTTTTTCGGGTCTGCCTTTTGAGCTGTTTAATTCCAGCCTGTTTTCATTTTCAGCGCGGTTCGTAATGTTGTAAACTGTTCTAAGGTTAATACTAAACATTTCAGCCAACTTCTTTGCTGTTTTTCCATTTGTAAAATGAAAATGAACTAAGTGAATCATATTATCATCAGTACGTTTTCCAGGCATTGCAAAAAAGTCCAGTTAAACAAAAACGACGATTTGTTGTCTTCGAGCTTTCGGACCCGTTAGTTTTTCTTTTGTGCTTTTCAAAGCAGTGTTTGCATTTTGCAAAGAATTTATTGACAGCGTCAAAAGTGACGTTTCATTGTTTTCTTTACTTCTTTTACGTTTTGTGTTACAATTTGTAATTTATTTTATTCACACCTATAGCTAATACTTATCTAAATGATATTTCGTAAAAAAAAGTTTAACAACTAACATCTTTTATTTATATTTTTCACGTTAAAGTTGAATTTGTATTATAATTTTCATTTTGCAACAATTAGTTGATTAGTTACATACAGTAACTGGTAGAAGGAAGCGTTTCCGACCATATAAAGTATATATATTCTTGATCAGGATCAATGCACGCTCTTAGCTTCTAGTGTTGGCTATGCAGTTCGACAGATGGCGCCACCTAAACTTCGATTGTTTTGTAGAGGAAATACTTAGGTTGAAGTTTGTTGGCTGAGTAACGGGTATCTAATAAACGGGGAACTCGACTATAGCGATCTTTCTTGTTTGTAACTAAAGTAGTGCCTATTAAATGCGTTAATTATGTAAAAAAAAATTTTTAATTACAGTTTGGTTTCATTTTCTTTTTCGTTTTAAGTCGTACGAATGTCGCGTACTCGATCCTGGTAGTACCCATATACATACGTGTTACTGATCAACATGGTCCGTTGAATGCATCCATAAGTAATTTTTAATTATTTACTCAAAAAAGGCGTCCACGTTTTGCAGTAACACACTTTAATGATGTGGAATGCTATACTCCCAATACTCCCATAGAGATTTTGGAAGGGAAGATCGCATACCTTTTGCTATAGTACAGTGTACATCTATTCGTTGGTAAGGTGTGTGGAGTTCAGTGTACAGGGAATTCCATCACTCCTCCTATTATAAGTTACCAACTAGATCATTTAATCTGAGACTTTCGCCGTTTATTATACATATCTTCAAATACCAACGGAAATCAATATTTTTTTACCCTTGCAGATGGTATTATAATTTTAGTCAGAAGATTGCAACTCAGTAAAGGAGACATTTCCGACCCTATAAAGTATATATATTCTTGATTGGCATCACTAGGAGAGTCGATCTAGCCATGTCCGTCAGTCCTTTTGTCCGTCTTTTCGTCCGTTTCTACGCAAACTAGTCTCTAACAGCAAAGTTAAAATTTTTTTTATTTATTTTTCCGATTGCTCTTATAGGAACTATATGCTATAGTCGTCCGATCCGGCTCGCTCCGACTTATATACTACCTGCAATAGAAAGACAACTTTTGGGAAAGTTTCATGCAAATAGCTTTAAATTTCAGAATTACGTTTTTCATTTTATTTAAATCGGTAAAGGATTTCATATAGCTGCCATAGGAACGAACGAATAATTGACATAAAAATCGTCATAACTTCAATGTTTTTAAACATACACGCAAATAAATCGAGATGTAGACGTTTTGAGAAATATTTAATTAAGGCAGTAGTTGCGAGGGTATATAAACTTCGGCATACCGAAGAAATAGAAAAACAGAAAAATTATCCAGAAAAATTGATATTATCCATTGAAACGCATTTAAAAGATTTAAAAAAGCAAAGTTGCATTTTAGTTTTGTCATATCTTCAAACGTTTTTTGGCTAATCAGTTTTAAAAATGAAGAGGGTGCATAAAATAAGCTGTGTGCAACAGAAACATTTTGCTAGTAATTTTGACTCATTATTTATTATTGTAGTAAACGCGTTTTAAATCTTTGGCTTGGCGAGCTTTGTTGCCTGACTAGTAATTAACAAATTGTATTTTTCAGATTTGATGAGCAGTATCATCGTAACTATCCGCAGTACTTTGAGGACATGTACATGCACCGACAGCGCTTCGATCCGTACGATAGCTACAGTCCCCGGATACCGCAGTACCCGGATCCGTACGTTATTTATCCGGACCGGTACCCGGACTCGCCGTCAGTGAGGGACTATGCGAAAATGCGTCGCGGATACATCGACGAGCCCATGGCGCCGATCGATTTCTACGGCACTAGCAAGTACGGCTTTTCCAAGCAGTCGGATCTGCCTTATCCGGCTATACCGCCTCGTAACGAGCGGATAGTGTACTATGCCCACCTGCCGGAGATTGTGCGGACACCTTATGATACTGCGGCCCCGGAGGAGCGAAACTCTGCTCCGTACAAGCTGAACAAGAAAAAAATGAAAATCAACCAGCGACCTTTGGCGAATAATGGTACAACCTATAAGATGACGTTGTAGAGGTCTCTTAGAAACTAAGACTTTTTTTTTTGTATTCATTATTCGACAGCATTTGTATCTGACACCCATACAGCTAAGCACCAAGTTCAGCGTTTGGATATTTTTTAACTGTATGCAATCACGACATTAAATTAAAAATTCACCCAACTCCCATTAAAAACTACCCGAGTTCAGGGTCTAACATCAAATGCCGATTGACGATACAAAGGTCGATGACGATCTTTAAAATTAAAGAAAAAAGAACGCTGTAGACGAGTGTTCCGACTATCAGAAAGTTCAAATTAAATATGCCACTAGAAATCAATCGGGTATTAGGTGGCGCCATCTGCCGAGCTGCGGGGTCAGCACTTCAAGCAAAGAGCGAGAAGTACCCCTGCCAACCGCTAAATGAAACGAACTAAAAACTAGAAAGAAAGTACACTTCGGCAAGCCGAAGTTTAATATCCTTGCAGCTATTGCCAAAATTAAATATTCTTTAATACATCTCAATTTTGATTTATATGCTTGTGTGTTAAAAAACATTGAAGTGATGATGATTAAAAGCATTTGAGCGATGCCGATTTTAAGCTATTTATTGGGTGGCTTCTATGCATTGCCAAAAATATTTAAAAACTGCCAAAAAAATGCTAAATCGTTAAATTTTTCGTTTTCAACATATATTTGTAAACTTTGGACAATTTAATATTTGCAGCACCTTTACGAGCTGAAAACTGATCCACAGTGTTTGGCAAAGTGAAGGCATAGTGCCGGTTCCTGTTCCTCCGTTTTTGTTGACTTTCGAAGAAAAGGCACGTCTATTTTTGGGTAAATGCGCCCATCGTAGCCACATGTTTTTTTTGAGCCGGCGTGGTGACGAACATCATAGATTTTTGTACCTATTGCGGAATTAAAATACACACAGCATGTATGTATCAGTGCAGTCCTTGCAAATCCATTGCATGAACTGAGGAGTTCATTACATTAACTTTTGGCATCTTAACGCAAGCACACAACACAGCACAAGAGTGACTGGAATCACTGAGTTGTGAACCATAATCGTCATTTGTGCAATCAATTTTAAATAGGTGTAAAAAAGGCAAAAATTCCAACGAAAAATAAAAAATTGATCGTTTGTAATTAAGATGCTAAAATTGCGAAAGAAAAATGAAAAATTGCTAGATTTGTGGCTAATAGGATTTAAAAAAAAAGTTGCAATTTTATCACCGTCCTAGCTTGCAGCTTTGAGGAAGAGTTTATTAAAGCATTTTGCTTAATTGAAGCAGAGGGTGAGGCTTGATACCCAGTAACCCAGTAACATGCACACATCTTAGCATCGGGATTCGGTTTCGAAGTTCAACTCCCCAAATTGCCGGCACCCTTCTTCTCGGGCAAATACACTGATTGGGCTGCGTTTCATGATGTTTGTCCACAAAAATTCTTCATTATCAAATATCCAAAAATTCCCCATCCTAAAGCAAGCGCCTGCTGATCAAGACTAGGACATTCGCCAAATGGATTTAACGGACAACAACTACAATACCGCATGGGATCTTATTGTAAAACATTTTAAAAATCCCCACCTGCGATTCATGCATCTCATGAACGCTTTGTTCGACTTCTCTGTCATAACAAAGGAAAGCTCTATGGACATCAAACACATGCCCAATATAACCATAGTCTGCATCAACGAGTTCACTAGTCTCAAGATCGCCATCCAGTCCAGCACGCAATACTTCATCACGTCAGCCTGGTAAGCTCAAAGTTGCCAGCACGTACAAGGGCAGTTGTGTTCACATTCCATAGAAGCAGGAATTGCTTACAGTGTGGAAATCTTCATCACACCCTGCTACATTTGTTAAATGTAAAAACATTTTTCTCGCAACCGCAAATTGTGCAAATCCACAACGACATCACCTCACCGGTCAAACTACAGTGATTCGGTCACTCATTGACCACAGCTTCGAAGGCACTCACTCTAATCAACGAGCGCGCTGTTCAGATCCTCGGGCTACGCCCACAACGAATTTACCGGAGTAAGCGACCATTCCAAGAATCAATGCAAACATATCAGCAGGACATCCACAATGCGACCGAGGCATTTGCCAACTTGGACGACAAGGAAGAGAAGCTGATGGTGTTGTTTGACGGGTTTGCAATGGAGACCACCACAGCTTCTAAAAAGGGCAAGGATCCCCGTATATGTGGGAAGTATTTCCTACCAGAGATCCAGCAGTAATGCATTGTGGTATAGATTTTATATTCGAAAGAAATCAAAAATTTCTACAACCTTGCATATAGAAAAAAGCTTTTGTAGTGGTGGCACGAACAAAATATCTTTATACATCGGTATTTACCGGTATTTTTTCTAAAAATGTTCGGGACGAATAATTTTTTTTATCTCATTTATTAATCGCGTTTCTTTTAAATGCGGCATTTAGTCTTATGGGTTTCCCTGTGTAAATAAATGCGCATTAGGCCAAATTCGTTTTAATGCGCCAATGGAATCCAGCTATTATTATAATGCATTCATTACCCCTTCAGATAACTTGGGGTTCCTATCCTGACTTATTATAACATGTGTTTTTAGTTCGGTTGTCGCCTTGGCTAACCGTATGATTACGATTTGTCATATGATCGAACAGTGGGTTTCTGGATATGCTACAACTCCTCTATTTTTCAAAGAAAATGTTTTTATACCCTTGCGACGCAGTGAATGAGACATTTCCGACCCTATAAAATATATATATTCTTGATCAGCATCACTTGGAGAGTCGATCTAGCCATGTCCGTCTGTCCGTCCGTCTGTCCGTCCGTCTGTCCGTCCGTCTGTTAGTCTGTCCGTCCGTTTTTAGGCAAAGTACTCTCTCAGTTTTAAAGCTATCTGAATGAAACTTTCCCAAAAGTTGTCTTTCTATTGCAGGAGGTACATAAGTCGGTACGAACCGGATCTAACGACCATAGAATATAGCTCCCATGGGAACAATCGGAAAATAAATGAAAAACAAGAAAGGAAGAAAACTTCGGAAAGCCGAATGGTTTAATATCTTAAAATTAAGGTTTAAATTTCATTAAAATCGGACGACTATGACATAAAGCTTCAAATAAAACGAAAAAAATAATTAAAAAATAATTTTTTTAATGTAACTTCTATTTTGTATATTTTTTAAAATTCTCTTTGACTTATTAATAATTTGACGAAAACGATATCATAAAGCTGCCATAGGAACTATAGAATAATTGAGCTGCAAATCATCATAACTTCAAAGTTTTTTAAACATATACGCAAGTAAATCATAATTTTAATGTGTTCAAGAATATTTAATTTTTGCAATAGCTGCAAAGGTATATGAACTTCGGCTTGCCGAAGTTAGCTTCCTTTCTTGTTTAATTTTTTTTAAGTTCTTCGACATATAGTAATGCTTAAATATTTTAGAATTAAGGTTTTCAAATCATCAAAATCGGTCGACTATAACATGAAGCTCCCATAGAAACAATAAAAATATTAAAAAAATTTGTTTTTTTAAATATAACTTTTCTTTTTGACTTATTAATAATTTGCTAGTTCAGAATTACGCTTTTAATTTTATGAAAATCGGAAAACGATATCATATAGCTGCCATAGGAACTATCAAATATTTAAGCTGCAAATCATTTAAAGCTTCAATGTTTCTGAACATTTATGAAAGCAAATCATAATTTTAATGTTTTCAAGAGAGGGTGCATGGGTATGGGTATATGAACTTCGACTTGCCAAAGTTTGCTTCCTCTCTTGTTTGTTTTTTTAGTTACTTATTATTTAATTCTGTCTCGGCGTACGTTTTGTGTTTTATTCTTTTTATCTGTTATTTTATTATTATTATTTTTATTTATAGTGACTACTTTATATGTACCAATATATCTTTTTTCCAAATTATGTGCAGTTTCATTTTTCTATAAAAATTCTTGGCCTATTTTTAGTATTAATTTATTAGCTTTCTTAACTTGTTGTTCTTTTTGTTTTATTTTTAAATTTTCAAAATAATTGTTTGCTTTCATATGTGGTAGTTGAAGTTTATATTTTAATTCCTTATTATAATCATCAAAGTTGTAAATCGGTTCGATTTTATAAGTTGAAAACAAGAAATTTCTTGGTGTTTTTCCGAAGACAAGTTCAAATGGACAATGACCAAGCACACTAGATGGGATGGTATTAAAGAAATAGGTAAAATATTGAATATATTCGTCCCAGGTTTCTTTGTGTACTGATATGTATGATCTTATGTATTCGTTAAATGTTCTTGGGATCTTTCTATTATGCCTTGAGTTTGATAGTGGTGTGCTGTGGAATTCTGGCCCTATTGTGTCGATAATTGTTATATCAAAAGCAATTGCAGGAGTTGGAGTTAATGTCATCGTTGTTTTGTTGTGTTTAAATTTTTTTGGTAATTTGCATTTTTCACAGGATCTTTACACAGACATTTATTTTTGTGGTTTGTCTTTGTGATCACTGGCCTCTTGTTCTAGCCTTGGAAAGAATATATCTTAATTCATCGATCCATTAGTGATCATTTGGTTGATTCTAAAAGTGACTATTTTGAATTTTTTTTTCTCTTGTATGATACAATTCCTTTTATTAAACTTTTAGAATAAATGGTTACTTACTTCCCTGGGATTTATTGCTTCGTATACTTTTGGTTTTTCAATATGTCGATTTTCTGGAGTTTTTTCTGTTTTCTTTTTAACCGATGATGATATGGATATAACCTTAAGAATATTGTTATTTGCAAGTTTTCTTATATCTTTAAGTTCTACTTTTGAAAGTGCATCAACTGCTGAATTTTTCCTGTCCTCTGATATGTTTTATTACAAAATCGTATTCTTCTAAATCTTGTCTAATTCTTAAAAGTTTTGATGCAGGATTTTTTAAGGAAAAGAGGTGTACCAATGGTTTATGATCCGGATTAATTAGGATTTTTTTTCCGTATATGTATGGAAAATGGAAATGCTGAACAGCCCAAGGAATTGTTGTCAGTTCTTGTTCAATTGTAGAACTATGGCTTTCACCTTGTGTGAAAGTTTTTGAGGCGTACGAGATGGGGAATTGCTTTCCGTCTTGTTTTTGACTTAGTGCTGCTTCATTTTTATTTTATTTTACTTGCATCTGACGTTATGCAAAACTGTTTTTCAAAATCAGGATAATGAAGTTCCGCTGGGCTTAATAATTGATTTTTAAGATACTCAAATGCCAACTCACAATTTGTACCCCAGTGAAGACTTTCGTTCTTTCTGCATTATGCTGTTGTCGCAAAATTTTGAATAAGTCTGCGA